TATGGAAATGTTCACTTAAATCTCACATCATGTGTCCTTGAAAGTAGTAAAAAGACGCTCCAGATGATCTCTGTCTTTTTTCCGATGAAAATACCTAGGTATCCAAGTAAATAACGTGGATTTGCACTTTGAATCCCTTCAAAAAAACACGGCCCCACCCGGCGGCCCACCTCTTTGAACCCCCGGCATGGCAAAGACCCTCTGCTAAGTTCCCGCAGCTCGAAAAAGACGCAGCGGGAAAATCACGGAACAGCAGTATTCCTCTCATCTGTTTCAACATCTTTTGATGTCTGGTGTAGAGCATCCTGGGGACGAAGACGTTCATGAAGAATTATATGAGATGGATCCTGTGGCGTGCGAGATCAACTGCTGGATCAACCGTTCTCTTGAACCTGTCGATGGTATGTACCCGAATGCCAAGTTTCCACATGAGTAGAAGGCTCTCATATTTTGTAGACATTTCGCCATTCCTTGCTGTGTTTGCAGATCGTCATGAGGTTGATTCATTAGAAAGGGCCCTGGAGCAGCTGCATGAGAAATCACCGAATTATACCAGCAGTATGCGCAAGACACTAGCACTGTTGTTGTTGCGAGACCGTAATGCGAAGGTGTTGAAGTGGTTGTTAAGTGAAGGTATTTCATGTTACGAATCTACTTTTGAAGACGAAGCAATTCGCGTGAAGAAGGACAAGGATCCCGAAACGTGGAATGTTCTTAAGGAGAGCAACTATGTGCCAACGCTGGAGTGGAGAAAGAAGGGTGGCCTGTTGAAGAGAAGTGAGCCACTCACTTGAAAGATCGTTGGTTTCAATAGATGAGTGAATAGGATGAGGATAGCTGAGACAATGGCAATATACCTGAACGGTGGGACTGTTTATATCCAGCTTGGACAAACTCATATTCATCTTCGCCTCTTAAGTAAAGATGAGTGATCATGGCATAGGCATGTACTTTTGTCATCATGCAGTCTGAGTTCTTGTTCATTGAAAGCAAAAAAGTGTCTTCGAATCGTGCAGTGCATCCCCATCATGATGGTCAGCCTAACTAAGTTGCGCAGCAGCCCAATTTCTCATTCTCTTCGTCGCATCCCCAACGCGCCTAACGTTTCCTTCGAGTAAGATGAAATCATGCCCCTCATGCTCTGATAACTCGACAAGTAGATCTAAATCATTCTTACTGCAGCTGACGTACTCCGAAAACGACCGAATATCATCCCTGAATGCCTCCTGCTGACCTCCAGTAATGTACAGACTCTTCGTCGCGTTGGAGATGTCATTCACCCATCCGAGATCTCCATCCATGGGCATAGCCAAGGCCAGATCGCTCTCGTCGGACTTGCTCTTGACAGGGAAACGGGGATGAAGCAGCTCAGCCGTGGCACCGTGCATGCATGTCGTGGTGAGCATATCCACAAAATTGTTCTCTTGAAAGGAACGCGTTGTAGTCTTGCTTGTGAGCCACGGTGAAACGAGAAACACGCCGGCGAGGCGTCCGCTGAGGCTGACTGGCGCGATATCCAGCTGTGCTGGGAGACAAAGGTGGCGGGCGACCAAGAGAGCCAAGTTGCCTCCCGCCGAGTCACCACCGATGATGAGATTGTCTGGCCTGACGCCAGATTGAAGCAGGTGATTGAGAGCAGCGATACCCTGACGGAGTTGTGTGGGATACCGAGCTTCGGGTACGAGAGTGTACTGAAGAATGGCCACCGCCACTTCCGTCTTCTCCCCTGGGCCGCCGGTGACGTATGCCTCCCAGCACCATTCGACGTGGCCGGGCAGCAGCGGCACGACGTAGCCACCCCCGTGGAAGAAGAGCACGAATTTCTTGGCCTTCTTGCGGTTGCCGAGCCACATGATTGAGCCATCATTCGCTGGAAGCATCTCGACATCTCGCTTCAGCTTTTCAGCAAGTTGTGGATTAGCAAGGCGCTTCTTCTCGATCCAAGTCTCGTACGTCTTCAGAGTAGGCGGCTGCAAGAACTGGATTTCCCGGGCTTTCATGGACCCAAGTACGAAGCGGTAGAATGCGCAGAAGGCGAACAGACGGAGGGACATGCCTCTCGCGATTGCGAATGGTAGCCCATAGCAAAAGTTCCAAACCAGCTGGAATGGGGCTACACGTCCAGATTGTCAGCTCAAGTTCATCGTACATTCATCAAGAAAGCATACCTCGGAACAAAAGCCGCAAGAGCAAATCTCGTTTTTCACCAAGCGATAGTTGGGGCCTAGACGATCTTGCAGACATCTTCAATGACTGGCTCTCGAATACGCGTCAATGAGCTGCAATTGGAAGTGGTGATTTGGGTTCGTCTCGAGTCAAACAGAAGCTTCGCCCACCCAAGCCAGTGGGAGGGAAATGTGGGCAAATAGACAGCAAAGAGCAAGCTAACAGAACGGTACAGAAATTCGGGCGACCCTCTCGCGTCTGCGGTGCAATCAAACAAGGCGTTTTGACCTGAAGAAACAGGAGAAGTATCGCCCAGAATGTCACTGACATGTCTGTCCGCAGAGGCACGGGCTTGGGGGAAAATGTGTCAAACGCAACTACCGACCATCCTGACCGAGGCATAAACCAGAGACCAGAGCTGCGTCAACAAACCTTCGCACTCGTTTACCGTCGCATACTATCGTAGATCTGCGTGGCATCTGAGCAATCGCATCGCCCCGTTTGGGTTAGAGCGCTGTCTCCAGCCGCGCACAACGCTGAATGGTCCCCTCATTCGATGTGCAGCAAACCAATGCACGGATGCTGCAACTTCATGCTCTGGCACATCCTCGGTGAGAGATTGGCTAGTTCGATCTCGTGGCGCGGTTTGGGGACCTCGGCTCAGCTTCCCGGAATATGGTTTGCAGGGGTTGGAGTTGCTTCTGCTCCGGGTTGAAACGTGATCGTTTCGACTACAAGATTGGAGAAGTAGCCCTCGATGATACTTGGACCATCAACGAGAGCAACAAAAATCATCCGGTTATTCTCAGTTTCCGTATATTGATTCAACTGTGAACTACGACAATGGCTTTCTCACGAGAAGGTTTTACGGTCGATGTCATTGCCCAGTGGGTGAGAAAATCTGTACTCTACCCGTTTCTATCAATACCAATTGCCGCCGGGCTAGCAGTGGCCGCAGCGCAAGGTCACGGAGCAATTGGGATTTCCGGAGTTAAACCCGAAAATGTTCGCAGACTAGCCTACATCGCTGCGCTCGCTAGTCTTGTTCTCTCGACGACGGAATATCTCAACAAATGGTCAGCAAACAACTGGGTGACAGACAACAACTGGGACTGGGATCGAGAAATCATCGTTGTCACCGGCGGCAGCAGCGGCATCGGCGCAAGCATCATCAAGCACATCTTCGCCAGAAACCCAAAAGCGACAATTGTTGTGGTAGATTTGGCCCCGTTATCATGGGAACCACCCAAGGGCTCCAAGCTTCACTACTTCAAGTGCGACCTGACTGATACGGCGGCACTGAAGACGCTTTGCACTCTCATTCGAACCCAGGTCGGGGATCCTACAGTTCTCATCAACAATGCTGGCATCGCGCGGGGAGCAACAATCATGGAAGGCTCATATGCTGATATTGAGCTTACCGTGAAAACAAATCTCATTGCGCCCTTCCTGTTGACGAAGGAGTTCCTGCCGTATATGGTTCGTAGGAATCATGGACATATCGTCAACATTGGTTCGATGAGTTCGGTGGTTCCCCCAGTCAGGATCGCAGATTATTCTGCAACCAAAGCAGGACTGACAGCCATGCATGAGGTGAGACTACAACAGATTACCTCCTGAGTTGAGTGCACTACTAACAGAAGTAGTCTCTACAACTGGAGCTGAAGTACATTCACAAAGCACTGAAAGTTCGACAAACGCTTGGAATCTTCGGCTTCATTAGGACGCCTCTTGTTCCGTTCAACCCGGGACAGCCACATTTCGTTATGCCACTGCTTCATGTCGACACTGTTGGTGAGGCAATTGTGAATGGTCTTTACAGTGGATACGGCGGGACTATCTACCTTCCTAGAATCATGTCTTTGGTGACTGCACTCGTAAGTTGTAAAATTATACCTTGAACAACTAGCATGCGGCTGACAAAATCAAACAGAGGGCAGGGCCAGAATGGATATGGCGCCTAGCGCGAGAGACAACTGCCAGTGCGAGGGATATCCCTTACACCCCCCGCCAGAAGATCAATGACTTGACGGGCATGTTTGACTTGGACGAGGCTAGCGAGGCAAAGACCAACGGGATCAAGAACGAGGAGCTTTAATCATCGAAACGTTGCATAAATGTAAAAAAGTATATTTTGTTCACAAACGCCACACCTCGCGTGACCTCTAGCCCAATTCAGTGAAGTCAGTTGCGATATACACGCGGCCACGCTGCCAAGTCTTCAGCGTTAATCATTCAGCTCGGCTATTGAGCCGAGGTGATGTAAAGCGGAGGACAGGGACCAAATCGAGATGAACTAACCGGGATCTTCGACTCACCGTTCCTCCGACCCTCCGGTCCTCCAACGGTTACATTTTTCCATTGAGGCTAATGCAAGATGCCTTCAGTCGTCGCCATTGACCAACAGACTGGTATTCAATTCATTGTACTAACAGACCCAGCGGCGGTTTCCCCTCACCTTCCTGGTCAGAGCTCCCCCGCTCATCGGCTCAGTGCGAGCTGTTCCGCCACGCGATGAACACTGGCCGTTTCACAAGCCCGCCAATAGTTCAGACTTTCAGCGGAAGATCGCACGGATGTGCTGGTTATTGTCGGACGAAGAAGCGCGAAACGTGGCACGAGCCGAGGTATGGGCGCTTCAGACTCAGGTAACCAAATCAACTACGACATAACTATAGTCCCCGCACCGAACAGGGTTCTGCTACGCAAGTTGGTAGACTTCTGAAACTGACTTTTTGACCTCATCCATTCTGCCTCTCTGGCTACGAGCTAGATCATCGCCGGTATCCCACAGTGCTTGCAAATGAAAAAGGACATCTAGATCAACCGCAATCATGTCGAAGAGTGAGGTTCCTAGTTACAGCCAATTCGCATGCGTGGGCACTGGGTTTGCGGGCATTGGGCTTGGCGCGACGTTGAAACGGTGGTATGATATCGGCGACATCCAGTTCTTTGAACGAAACAACAAGCTAGGTGGAACGTGGTTTGTGAACCAGTATCCAGGTATGGAAAACACGGAGGAATCACTAAGGAGGTTGCTGACGTTCACTTAAGGATGTGCTTGCGATATTCCAAGTGCGCTTTACAGCTTCTCATTCGAAGCCAATCCCAACTGGAGTCGGGTTATGCCGCCGCAGGAGGAATTATGGCGATACCTGGACCACGTTGCGAGGAAGTACAACCTCACAAACAAGATGAAGTTTGGTGTTGACGTCGAGAGATGCGAATGGTCAGAAGCCCGTCAACGCTGGAGAATAACCATTCGGCGGTACAGCGATGACAGCATATTCACCCATGAGTGCCAATACCTGTTCACGGCCACAGGGCAGCTCATGCAGCCGAACCCAATCGATGTCCCGGGAGCCGAGAACTTCAAAGGTGCCATCTTTCATTCTTCTCGGTGGGATGCGAGTGTGGACATTGAGGGCAAGAAGGTGGTTGTTTTCGGCAATGGCTGCACTGCAACACAGCTGATACCAGCGATCGTGGACAAGGTGAAGCACCTCACGCAGGTGATCCGGACGAAGCACTGGATCATGGAATCAGTCGACTCTGCCAACACGACGTTCATGAAGAAGGTGTTCGGCAGCATTCCCGGAACCATGACGATCCAGCGGCTTCTCATGTTTGCCTGGGCAGAAGACTCATTTCGTGGGTTTTACATGACTGATGCCGGGACGCGCTACCGCAAAAGAGTGCAGGCGCGGGTTGAGAAGTACATGAAAGCGACAGCACCGGAGAAATACCACGACAAGATCATTCCCGATTTTGAGCTTGGCTGCAAACGACGCGTTTTTGACTCCGGATACCTCGAGAGCTTGCACTCGGAGAATATGACTCTGATGGACGATCCGGTCCTTGAGATCGTACCAGAAGGAATCAGGACCAAGGACGGCATTATTGAAGCAGATGTAATAGTCATGTGCAACGGCTTTGTGACGAACAATGCGGTTGGAGGGTTGAAGGTGATTGGGCGAGGCGGCGAGACGATCGATCAACACTGGGAGAGCTTTGGCGGCGCAGAGGCGTACAACTGCACCATTCTAAACAACTTTCCCAACCTTTTCGTGCTACTAGGCAGGTCTCTTTGCACGCTTCAAATACTTCATTATTTGCTGACTGCGGTTAACTAGGCCCCAATTCCCTCACTGGGCACACTTCTGCTATCATCGCCGCTGAGAATTCCATCAACTTTTCATTGCGCATCATCAAGCCATTGCTAGATGGGAAAGGCACTATTGTCGAAGTCAAGAGGGATGCCGAAGAAGAATATGTTAAGCAGATGCAAAGAGACATGCAAGATAGAGTGTGGTACACCGGTTGTAATAGCTGGTACCTGAGAGGCTCAAAAGAGGGAAAGAAGTGGAATGGGTCAACATACCCTTACTCACAAGTCTACTTCTTGTATCGTTGCTTGTTCCCTAAGTTTGGCGACTTGCAAATAAGTGTAAGTGCCCGATTTTGCGCGTCACCAAAGGACATGATATTCTGACAAAAGATATCTAGGGACCTACCCATCCCGGACGAAGACGAAGCACCTGGCGGAAGCCAGCAATGCTGGCTTTAGCGGGATACTTGTTGTCAATCTACCTGGGCATCAGCCGGAACCCACTTGCTCGAAACAGGTATTGGCAGCAACTCAGGACAATCATGCAGTTGCTGAGACTCATGTTGATCATGAAATTGAGGAGCGCATGGAGGAAAGTAGTGTGAAGAGGTGGTTTAGGGGTAAGCTCAGGGTTGTCCACCATGTTGTCAGCAGCAAAACATCATCGATCCAGCGATAAGCTGGGGTTTATCTCCAGGCTTATCTTGCGCCATGTCCTCATTTTTTTGCCCCAACATGCCGTCTTTTCCTGGTACCTGCAGCTGGCTAGGGCGCTGTAATCCAATGAGGAAGGTGTCTGAATCCCTGAAATCCGTGTTGGCCGTCGTTGCGCCGCTCGTATTCAGCTATCCCACATTCCACCCCTGCAGCTTGCTTTGAAGGCTGCGACTTCATTGGTGGTTCGCCCCTGGATGTTTCGGACGCGCTGTCGGTATCTCCTTAAGGGACTTTGGTTCTCTGAATGTCAACATTGCTGCGCCTGCTACACCGATGCTTGAAATGCTGAGGCTCGGATGGTTTCCACTCGCCGATTTCAATTGTCGTTGAGAACCCTTCACAAACAAATCTACACATCGCAATTGCTTTCCTCACCTGCTTTGCTTCAATCCCTCTGGGCCTACTTGAGCCCATCATGGATCACAACTCTCAGGCCATCTCCGCAGCCGCGTCGACTGTGTTCTTGCTGTTATCGCCATTTCGGCTGTGGAAACTGCGCCAAGAATCGATCAAAGTTGTGCCAGGCCATCGGGGATATGTGACACTTGTGGGTTTGAGCCTATGTTGGGATCGCGCATATGGAGACTTACATCCAAGCAGGTAATTGCAGTCTTGCTGGCCCTGGTGCAGATTTTCTTTGGCGGTACACGAGTTTCGCTGGTAAGTGAGTTCGACATCGGCCAGTTTGCCGCGACTGCCTCGTTTGTGGCATGCATACTACTTTGCCCTCTGCTGTTCTTGGAGCACTCTCGCTCGGTCAAACCATCTGATCTTGGAATCATCTATCTGCTCGTATCCTCGGCATGTGACGCTACCGAATTCTGGTTGGCTTATGAAGGCGGCAAACTATACAACGACGATGCTCTGTATATAAGCGTAGCCAACCTGGCACTGAAGCTTGTGCTCATCTTCGCCGGAAGCCGCGGCAAGGCATCGATCCTGCGCAACACTGGCGAACAATCGTCTCCAGAAGAAGTGTGTGGCGTGCTCAGCAGAACCTTCTTCTGGTGGATCAACCCGATCCTCGCCCGAGGAAACAAATTCGTCCTCTCCATAGATAGTCTTCCTTCGTTGCACACCGAGCTTTCATCGGAGGTGCTTAGACGTCGGGCCCTGAAATGTTGGGATCAGCGAGGTTAGTCAGGACCCTAGGGATCCAAATTTGGCATTGCTGACCCATCTGAAGTCAAGCCAGAGACCAAGATCACCTTACCTCGCGTCTTAGTTAGCAGCCTCTGGTCGCACTTCCTGGCCCCGATTATCCCCCGACTTTCACTCATTATCTTCCGCTATGCCCAACCAGTCTTGATCAGTACGGTAATCCGATATCTGAATTCGTCATCTGTCGAGTCTTCGCAAACTGGCTATCAATTGATAGTCATGGCTTCAATTGTTTACATCGGCCTGGCTGTGAGTTTCCTGCCCTTTGGTGGGACTGAACGAAGGCTCATGTTTCATGACAGGTTTCCAGCGCTCTTTACTTTAATCGCTTGAACCGACTTCAGGTCATGATTCGAGGAGCGTTGGTTGGTCTCATCAACAGCAAGTCATTGACCCAGCAATCAGTAGGCTACGATGATGCCAGGGCCATCACGTTGATGAGCACCGACGCAGAAAATGTTGGGCAAAGCGCACGACAGTTTCACGAAACTTGGGCGCAGATTATTGAGGTTTTGATCGGTACAGTGATGTTGGCCCGACAGGTTGGCTGGGCTTGTGTGGTACCCTTTGTCATGATCTTCTGTGAGTTTTCAGCTTCTATGTCTGGCTTCGGTGAACGACTAATGTCCTCCTAAGTCTGCTCCCGCATGAGTAAATATCTTGCTCAGAACCTTCAAAGCAAGCAGAAGGACTGGAACGAAGCTACGCAAAAGCGCCTTGCCATGACAACTTCGATGCTGTCCTCGATGAAGGGGTTGAAAATGCTTGGGGTGACTAACTATGCCGCTGGGCTAGTCCAACATCTCAGAAAACAGGAGTTAGAAATGGCCAGTCGTGGTATGTCTCTCATTACGTAGACGGCCATTTGCCCATACTTACGTGGAATGCAGTCCGATGGATGATGGTGGCTTACAACGCTAGCGGTATGTCGTCCAATACATTGAGAAGACCGAATTGCTTACTTTACTAGCCAATGCTTTGGGTCTTTTCGCTCCCATAATTACCCTAGTGGTCTTCGTCATTGTTGCTAGTATCAACAAGAAGGGCCAGTACCTTGATACTGAAACCGCCTTTACCACAACAGCCCTTCTTGGATTGGTAACGCACCCGGCAAACATGATCATGACGATTATTCCACAGGCTGTGGGGTCGCTCGCTGGCTTCCAGAGGATTCAAGATTATCTGCTGCAGCCTCCTCGAAGTGACAGCAGAGTCTTGTTGAGAGAGTCTGACGACGCAACGACCGAAGCTGCGCCAGCAATTGTTATCCAGCGCGTGGTTATTCAACCCAATGCCTCAAAGCCTCCGATTGTCAGCAACGTCGACGTCGAAGTTGCTCGTGGCTCATTAGTTATGTGCTCTGGTCCTGTGGGGTGCGGGAAGTCGGCGCTGGCCAAGGCTCTGATAGGCGAGATCCCAATCAGCAGCGGAACAATCTCATTGTCTTCCAAGCGCATTGGATACTGTGCACAGTCACCTTGGTTGCCAGGAGGCACATTTAAGGAGGCCATTTGTGGGCTTCTGCCGGAGGACCAAAGCTGGTACGAAGAGGTGATCCAACTCTGCTGCTTGAAGGAAGACCTCGTAGCTCTCTCTACTGGAGACCAAACCATGATCGGAAGTCGCGGTTTGAATTTATCTGGGGGACAAAGACAACGCGTGGCTCTTGCGCGTGCTCTGTACGCGCGTTGCGACATCATGCTTCTGGATGACAGCTTCAGCGCACTGGACGGTAAAACGGAACGTCAAATCGTTGACAACCTCATCGGTTCAGAAGGATACTTCAAAAAGGCAGGGGTTACCGCCTTTATCATTACAAACTCGAGTAAGTCGAGCTCACCGTGGAAAGCTCTGAGGATCCTCTAACAGTCGTAGCATCGTACTTTAAGTTGGCTGACCAACTGCTGATCCTCGGCAATGGCTCCGTGGCCTACAAAGGTACCTGGGATGATTTAGCTCAAAAGCCCGGAGAGATTCTCAAGTTCAATAATGACGAAAGCCATGATCAAAACTCGGTGCAAGAGGTCAAGATGGACAAGACCGTACTGAAACAGAAGCTGAAAGTAGAAGAAGGCATCTTTGACTTGAGCCGAGCGGCCGGTGACTTTTCGCTTTATGGTATGGTCCCTCGCCGTTTTGGCAGTGCTTGTTAACTAAAGTTCTATCTATTTGTAGACTATTACATTACAGCGGTAAAGCTTCGAAACCTTCTACTTCTGTTGCTGTGCACAGCTGGAAATGCTTTCTTTGCGACGTTTCCGCAGTACTGGCTGCAGAAGTGGACTTCAGCACCTAATTCAGAGACCTGGTTCTACGCCGGAGGTTATGTCTTATGCTCATTTCTCGCATGGTGTTCCACCAACGGTTCCATGTCGTGAGTTACAAGTCACATTACAGACATTCTTGAAGCGTGCTGATTCCGGAATAGTTCCACATGGCTCTTGATAGCTCCATACTCCGGCATGGAGCTCCACCGGCGACTTCTGGGAACCGTGATTGAGTTCGTCTCCCTCATTATGACGGCTTCGATACTTGACTGACAAGGCGTAGTGCACCATTGTCCTTCTTCTCAAACACTGACATAGGTGTTACTCTCAACCGGTGAGTAGGCACTTACGGCGAATCGGGTCCTCTGCTAAGTCATCACAGCTTCAGCCAAGATATCCAGTTAGTGGATCGGCAGTTGCCACCCGCTATTCTTTCCCTGACAGTCCGCAAGTAGCAGCCTTGGAAAGTCTTACTCTCGCACCCGTTAACAGGTTCACCAGAGATCTTCAAATTGATAGTGCAAACGTCTCTGCTGTTCAGCGCGCAGAAGATGATGACACTGGCATTCCCACTTGTTGTGGTGGCCATTTACATCGTGCAGCGGGTCTACTTGCGTGCATCGAGACAGTTGCGACTTCTCGATCTTGAGTCGCAATCAGCTGTCTACTCCAGCTTTCTCGAGTCGGTAGGTCATCTCTCCACGACGCTTCTGAAATTGCTGTCTGACGTCAAGCTAGCTGGACGGTCTTGCAACAATTCGAGCATTCGGTTGGGAGAAACAAGTCGAGAACGCAAACATCCGATCGCTCGATAAGTCGCAACAGCCTGCTTACATATTGTTCTGTCTTCAACGTTGGCTGTGTATTGTACTTGACCTGATTGTGGCTGCAATCGCTACAAGTCTTATCGCCTTCGCTGTTTTGATGAAGGGTACAACGACGGCAGGACAAATTGGCATGGCGCTAAACTTAGTGCTTGTCGTGAATTCGACACTGTTGAGTTTTGTGTCGGCTTTCACAAATCTAGAGGTGTCCCTTGGTGCGATGTAAGCTGTTTTTAAAATTTCTCTCCTCGTCTCAACTTCTTCCGCCCGCTACCGATTTGGTCTTGAGACGCAATCAAACCAATCCATACTAGGTAAGGTTAGTAATCTGATCGTTTCGCTGACGAGACGACAGCTCTCGCCTAAAGAACCTCGAAGAACAGACGCCAAAAGAAGATAAACCAGGCGAAGACTATGTTCCCGAGCTGTCGTGGCCTTCAGCTGGAGTAGTCGAGATCAACGACGTGACAGTGGCTTACAAGTACGATCGACGGCACTTCAACCTTTCGTTCTCAAACTGACGGTATTCTCCAGTTCTGAGGCCGTTGCTCTGCAAAATTTCACTGTCAAAGTTTCTGGTGGCCAGCAACTTGTCATCTGCGGTCGCACGGGAAGGTATGGCACCCTGAAAATAAGAGTGAAGCAGAATGGCTAACTTCAATACAAACATAGCGGAAAGAGCACTTTGTTGCTGGCACTTCTCCGCCTGCTGGATGTCAGTTCTGGAAGTATTAAAGTGGACGGAGTCGACCTAAGCTTAGTCCCACGTTCATTGATTAGAGAAGCCTGCTTCATCACTGTCTGCCAGGACCCTTTCATTCTAGACCAAAGCAGCCTTCGCTTCAATCTCAACGTAAGCAGCTCCAACCTAACTCCGCAAGACTTTCCGCATATTTGCGCGATGCATGTGTACTGACAACCCTCGCTTCCAGCCCATATCCATGGTGGGATGGCGCGGCCTCGCCGATGTCCTTATCATCGATGCTCTCCAGCGGACTGGTTTATGGTCTCACTTCAAATCGGGCGAGTCTGAGATTACTCCCTCGGAGGCCAAGGACATCCTGGATACCTCTATGTCATCTCTACCTCAAATGTCTACCGGTCAAACACAACTGTTTTCACTTTCAAGAGCAATCCTCCAAAAGTCGATTGGCGCTGCTGAGGCCTCTGTGTTGAGTGGACAGCTTCTCGGAAAGAAGATTCTTCTCCTTGATGAGGCTACAGCTTCGCTGGATCCCGACACCGAGACTGTCATGAGCCGCATCATTCACGAAGAGTTTACCGCAAAGGGACACACGGTCATCGCCATCTCGCACAGACTTGGCGGGTTAGCCGAGAATATGCGGGAGGGCCAGGACGCGGTTGCCTTATTGTCAAACGGGAGGATCGACAAGATTGGGAGTGTGCATGAAGTGCTGGGTTCTGCGGCCCTGGGAACTTGAAGGCATCATGATTCAAGGACTTAAAGCGTCTAAATCGTGGAGGAATTCCCCAGGGCGATTTACAAACAATTGCTTTGTTTTCGAGTCATGTACAAAAAGGCCCGAGGGCCGTTATGAGGGTTTTCATCGGCGTGGAGACGTCGACCGGGTATAATTTTTTGTAAGTCGCATTATTAGAAATGGATTTAACCAACACAACAAATACGCAAGATATTTTCGTCAAACCCAAGGTATCATTCAATTAGCGAATATAGTAACTGTCTCCGACCTCAAGAAATATGCTTAGCGTCGTGCACACCTATTGTAGCTTCTAGATCGTTGTGCTTTCTTCCCCGTTCCTTATTGTATGTTCGAATGCTCCAGCTTCTACGGCCTGGACTTTCCAAATCTGGCAATACGCTCATACCGTTGCTACTCTGTGTCTCGTACTGACTTGATCTTACATCGGCCTCGTCTTCTTCCTCGTCGCTCTCTGTGTCTTCGTCCTCGATATTGGTCCTGTTGCGCCTGAACAAACCCTTGAACTCGCCATATGGCTTCCTCAAGTCGACCTCTTTGATCACCCAAAGCATCGCTCCTGTGAAAACAAATGCCCCGCTGCGGTGGCCAACATGTAATACAGGGTGGTGGTTTCTGGTGCTTTGTCCATGCTGAAGATGCTGGCAGCGAAACCCAGCGGAACGAAGATTGTGGTAATCACGGTGAACAACTTGATATTTTCGTCCTGTGTTTGATTCAGTTCGCTTCGCATAAACTCCAAGTCACCCCGCATCAAGTCCAGCTCCATCTCGATAAGATTTGTGATTTTGTCTTGATTTCTCCGCAGAGTTTGAATGCTGTCATCGTTCGATGCTAGCAATTTCAGAATGATGACTCGGTATCGACTTTCGTCGTTGAAAGTCCATCGAGGCCTTTCCAATTCGCGACCCTTTTCTCGGTCGCGCCAACGATCGATGTTCGCAAGGGCCTCCGCATAGTGCCTTCCCATCCTTCGAATGGCTTTCTGAAACTCCCGAAACTCCTTGATTGTGTCGAGCAGGTCTTTGTAATGCGGCCGAGTGGCCTTGGTCCCCTTAGTCGGCCTCAGCGTCTTTTGCAGGCGCTTCCTCGTCCCCATCAAGACAGATGTTGCCCATTCGAGGATTCCTCTCGTACTCTCGTTCATCCTCTGCATGATCCGTTCGAACAAGATGAGCTCCAGAATTCTTCTCTGCTGCCAAGAGTTCTTTTCCACTTCAGTGATTCTACCGCCCTCGAACTGCCTTTCCAGCAAAGCCTGCACTTCTCTCTGCACTTCCTCTTGTACTCCTTCCTTCCAAGGATAGTCGTCTGCCCGCGATGGGTTGGCTTCCAAGAAATTGCATGTCCAGTACCGATCAAAGAAGTCGCCCTTCAATCGAAAGCCTGCGGCAAACTTGCGAAGGTATCTTGGTGCCTCAACCCCACTCAATGTCGTGAAGTGGAAAGTTTCGGCCTCCAACGTGTCCTCTGAAGGGGGAGCACCAGGTCGGTCGTCGTGCAGCAGGGTGTAAAATGACAAATGAAGCTCTGTTGTCCAAGTGTTCAACAAGGCTGCGGTGTCCTCGGCGAAGAAATTGTCGTAGGAATTATGCCTTTGGAAAAAGGATCTCATCTCCTGCTCTTCCCGGTCATCTCTCGATATCACCGGAATGGTTGCCACGCAAACCTCATTCTCGGAAGGGGTTGATGCGAAAAAGGCCCAAAATCTCTTCTTCTTCGCATCCTCAGCGGTTCTGCCCGCATCCACTACGTTTTGAATTTCCGTAGCGTTTTGCAAGACTCTCATTGTAATCTTGTTCTTTGACGTTTTCGTTTTCACGGGCCGTGACTTGGGAATGTCAACGACAGCCCCAGTGAAGGTGAGATATATTAGGTCCACAGGGATGGCCATTAGGTTACCAAGCCCCTCTTGAGCTTTCTGAATGGCAGCAGCAGAAATGAAAAACGTCGGCGGATTGTAAAGCCATTCATCTTGAAGCTCCCTTATGTTGCTATGGGACAACATGTTGTTGAGAGGGATGTGAGATGCCTTTTGAGAGTGGTATCGATCCTGATGTACACCGTCCCATAGATTTGGCTGTGCGATTGATTGCATGGCCAGTGGTGCCACATGATCAGGCTGAAGCGGTCTATCCCAATGGTTGTCCCCAAGCTTCTTGCGCTTTCTACTGGGAGCATGTCCGAAATTTGGCGTGTGGGAATACTTCCACAAAAGGTACGGTATCTCGAACGTTGTTCCCCAGAACTTGCCTCGCAAAAGCTCGTTTTCGTAACAACTGACAGGCCGAGATCTTTCATCAAGTACCCCTGGAAATATTCCATTGTCTGAAGAGAGTTCTAGCAGGGCGAAGACAACTGCATCCGGATTTGACGTCCCCATCGTCGTATTGAAGGGTCTGAAATGCCCCATGACCACAGGTAGGGCCAACCTCCGAGGGTCAGTGCGATTGATTGTATCATGGGCGTAGTGATGAATCTGGTATTGTATCGTTCTCTCCCAAATATCCAGTCTCCTACGCAGTCCATGAGGACCGTCTAATCGTGTCGGCCGGTCGAAGAGTCCCATTTCCGCCGCACGAAATAATGCTGTATCTGTAGACCGAAAGATGAATCTAGTTTTAGCGGGACTTCTCTTCACAGACAGAAGGCGTTGCTGTATGGAAGGATTTGGACTGTCGAACATTTCGAGGATGCTCTCCTGGATGTGCTTTGACGAGCACTCTGGGGATGCAGGGAGCTGTATGCCTATATCTTCGGCAGACTTTATGGCTTGCCAGATCACTGCGTGGTCTGTGAGGTAGAAGGTCCTGGTTGGCTCCGTATCATATCGGGGGAAGGCGTATAAACCTGGGATGTTGACTTTATGATTATAGATTTCCTGAATTCATGTCCGGACAATACGCTCAAGTGTCTGCATATCGTCTCCATCGAAGTCGTCACTACTCATCTCGTAGAAGTCGCATACCTTGAGGACTTGGAAAGGTGTCTCGACCAGAGACTTTCTCGAAAGAAGGTCCCCAAGTTGCCATTCCTCTATCTCGTCCCCGTTGACCCAGTAATATGGACAGAAAAGCTTTCCAGATGTGTTTGACGTTTTGAAGAGCCACCTCATGTGACCTTTGCATACCCGCTTGATACGGCTCATCATTCCATAGACGTAGGTTTTCGTTCCATTCGTCGCAGGTTGGTAATTAGGATCACTTTCGTATGCTGTCAAACTCTCATATCGGGATTGAAAGTGTTTCAGGGCCAGCAATAGAATCTGAAAACAGTAACTTTGAATATTCTGTCAGAAAGTCCAATGAACTCAGCGAATCCCATACTCACAACGACGCCGCTGTCGACACAAAATGACTATCCACATCGCCACAGGTGAGAGCGATAGTTGGCACCTCGTCGCCCCGTGTGAAAACCACTGGAATGCTGCAAACGGAGAGAACGTGCTCCAGGTTCTTTCAGAGACAGACATCGAGGTTGGGGTTGTTGCTGAAAGTCTGGGCCTCATATGGCATTGTGGATAGATCCAACTGCTCCGCGGACTGGACCGTGTCCACCGGCCTGACAGGCGACTGATCATACCCAAGTCTATACGCCACTGTCACTGATAGACGCCCATATTGATCAATGTCCTTGGAAGCTTGCTCGTCCCATTTGAGCAGATAATCCCACCCAAGAAGGTAGTCGGCTGGCATCTCCCCAATCTGTAGAGTAGGGGCCTCGACGATCTCGAAGACACGCTCGTCATCGAATGCCATGATAGAAAAGAACAATTGCTTGCCATCTTCGTCCTCATGCTCTCGAAGGACACTGCCACCTTCTAGCCGCGCCGGTTTGTACCGGTTGTCACCAGGATTATTGAATGGATTGTGGCCCGGTAGGGTTATGTAATCCAGGTTTCTGATCAATAAATCACTCCTTAAACGAACAATCGGCGGGCTTGGGGGTTTAGATCCGTTCCTGGTGATCTGAGAGTAATCAAATTTGAACGTCTGATAAACGGTGCCATCCAAGATGGCATATTGTAAATCAAGGTTCACATCCAGTGAGCCTATTTTGAAAGCCGGCCACCTATCATGTACCAACTCTGAATAGTAGACTTGCCTATTCAGGTGGAGAGCGTCGACGTAAGTGCCGATGCCCTTTTCGGAGGAGGCGTCTTCAGCTCGGTAGAGGAACTGCTTGAGTCGAGGAGTCACACGGAATGGCTCTTCCATGTCGGGTTCATCCACACAGAATCCTGTCCTCTTGCCAGGGAAATGTCGCGATATCCGCAGTAATTGCCCAGATGCCCCAACGGTGGCGGTGAGCCCCTCATCGCCGAAGGAATAGTACCCATTCTTCTTCGCGCGATCCGAAGTGGAGTCAAAAGAATGACTTGGCAGCATTTTGACGACCCGTCAAATGCCCCGATCTCTTTGATTGGGTTCAGTGTTGGCCACCGATGCTTGCAAAGAATTTCAAGGAAGAGGCATCGTAGAGAGTGAATTTTTCTTTCTTTCTGTGATGATGAGGGGGTGTCAGATGCACGAACTGCGTGTTTATCCACTCGCGCAATTCAATCGATTGGGTGGAAGATGCATCGTGTTGTACTTGGTTAGCTCCAAAACATCCCATGGTGCGCCTGTATGCCCCAACAGGGGGACGGAGCATGGTCGAAGATGAGTTCGGTTTCTCCCAGTGAGCATCGCCGCCTGTGACTGTGGTCAACTATGCATAAGCGAAGTGGTACAGGGGGCTGTGTATTCAATCGTTGGTGCAGAGTAAGATATCAAGTGAGCGGCCCACAATCCAACGTCCCCGCCAAACTTACAGATGAACCATTGGTGTTGAAATCCGGCTGTTGTACCCGGAAGTTGCAAAATGCCTCTCGTACTTTTACCGCAACAAATTACCCCTCATGAAAGAACAAAACTTGATCTCAATCTCACTATGTCACAAGGACGCGACTATATGTAACGTGCCTCCCTAACCGTTTCAGTCGACATGTCACCGGCCACAAGGAAGCTGATGGTTTCGATTTCTGATTTCTGGAATTATTGTGCTTGGCGGAGCTGGTGATAGAGGCCAGAGTGAAGCTGCACCACAAATCGTGGAGAAGAAGCCCGGCTCACTCATCTCAACAGACACAAATAAACAGCCCTCTCTCCTTTTTCAATCAACGACACAATTGCCAGCGACACGCAGCTGTTCTGTATGCGATTTTTCCGGTCTACCTCCAGACATGGCGGCGGTGAAGTGGGGAAATAACACGGTCAAAGCTAACGATGCGGCCTCAAAGTCCGCAAAGTCGTTCACAACTTCCTTTCTTATGACTCGTGCCGTTACATCTGCTGAAAATGCGACGAAGGCGCTAGCCGTCTGCGGGAAAAGTGCATGTGGGCTGACGCGTTGATGTTGGCTTGGCTTTGGCCAAGCAACAAGGACATCCATCGCGAAGGAGTTGAGCAAGTCACCAGGTAGGGAGTGTGGGGATAAGCGTAAACGGTGCCAAGAATACCTAGTCTAAACAGGCTTAAAGAGTCTTAAAGGAAATGAAAGAAGGGAAGAACCCCTTTAAAATTGACAAATGGGGAAGGCAGTCCATCCACATGTGGATCGGGATATTCACGATGACCTCGTTCTTCTCGGGTGAGCGATACAAACGTAGACATTTGTTTCATGCAGATTAATCATGGATCTCACCGAACCTACCGCCCTAAGATACATGTTATCGCGTCATACAGCGTGTTCTAAGTGTGGATTTACTCTCCGTTTTGGTGCAGAAGACATCGTTTTCCGCGGACAGCCTCCATCACCCAGAACCTCATGGACGCCACAAGTGCAAAGATGGCTGACTCGAGCTATACAGGCATTTCCTACTTTTATATAACGCCCGCAAACTTGTGCTACTCCCGACTATCATTGTGTCTCTGGAACTCAACTTAATCCAGTCCTTGATTCGATTGCTTGCTTCTGAATTGCTACTAGCTGCGCCATTCAACGCCGTTCCTTTCATCACCTGTACAAGATGCATCTCTCGTATACCAAGTTTGCCGTTGCGTTTGCTTTGCTTTCTGCTGTGTGAGTCGAGGAGGACCCGCGTATTATGTTACCGAACAACGCTGACACTGGGAACGCAGCATGGCCGACCCCCACGGTAGTTGCACCTGCCACAACGGCGACAGCTACAACTGGCGCATGACCACTGTCGCATGCGCCGAGTACGACGCGAATCAATACCCGGTATACAAAACCTCTTCCCCTTTGAACACTACACCAGAAGATAAACACCAGTTAACATCTTCGCAGTGGGGAGGAACTTCGTATGACACTCCTTCTGGCCGCGTGAGTAAACCATGGCAACCTTTGGTATGTTGACTGGAGCAAAAGCTGAACAATTTTATAGTGCTACAGTAAAGAAGGCGGCTACATCGAGGGAGACCCGTGGGAGTTCGCTTGCAAGACCATCGCCACCAAGGGTTTCCAGTGCGCTGACGGGCGTGGAACTTGCTTTGCCGACCCTGAACAGGTCTCGGGATGGTGTGATTAATGGACGGACCGATCCACGGAGGCATAGCCAGATGGGGGAGCCAGTCAAGAACCGTGGCAGGCGTATGCATTGACTTCAGAGACGAGGATTATCTGAGAGCGGCGGAGTTCGGGTGTAGGTGTCGTGACTGGGGCTTACTCAAACCTGGGCGGAGGCAATCGCGAACCTACTTTGGTACTTCCATGTAAAAGAGATATAGTAATGCAGGAAGGACTCAGCAACCTGTGTGTTTTGTTGACTTGTCTGTGCGAGCGCCTTTTACCGTCTTGCCATAGGATAGGCAATTGGGTAAGATCATGTCATGCGCATGTAGCCTTATGACAGAGTGCATAAGAAAAACCTGCTGAACGTGAAAGAGGCCGCCGATGCTACCGCACTGCCGATTAGGGCATTTCTGGCACTGTTCGAGGGCTATAGGAAGGATCCGGCTGGGGATCCCGGACGGTGCGGGGCTGGCCTCGTCCGAGGAAATGGACCCTTTCGGAGCTAGGTCCGGAAAGCGAGCCGTCAGATCAACACCGGCGCAGATCAGTCACCAGCCGGCCATTGAAATGAGTGAAAACAACTTTTATTCACCAAGAACATCGCAAGATGCATTCTATTCTGCCATGCCGCGCATTAAACCAATTCATTACATGTGCCCCTACCCTTCTCTCGGATAGATATCAATGCCTCATCATCACAAACTAAGAAATATTAAAACAACTTCGAAGAACACCCCCTGCTGTGTCACCAAAATCAGCAAGCTGATCTACCTCCCGAACAAGCTAATCCGGAACTTGCCCTTCTTCCCCTGCATCGAGCTGCGCCCGCTCATCGGCCTCTCGTCGTAGCTCATGATGCTCGACGCCGGGCGCCCCAGCGTCCGCGGCGGGCTGTCGTTGTACATCTGGTGCTGCTGCTGCGACGTCTGCGGGTGTATCTGCTGCTGCTGCTGCTGCTGCTGTTGCGGCGGGATGGGCATGGCATAGTCCCCGCGAAGCGCCTTCTCGACGTCGAGGTGCTGGCGCTCGTACTCGTCGTGCTTGCCCTTGGCATCGACAAACCGCTGCTCCGCCTGGCGCCGGCGCTCCTGCAGCGCGCGCAGCTCGGCGTCGAGCTGCGTCATCTGGCCCTGCGCCTCCTCCATCAGGTTGTGGTACTCGAGCATCTTGCGCTGCAGCGGCTCCAGCACGCTCTTGGAGATGGACGGGCTCTGCAGGCGCGAGATCTCGTCGCCGGCCAGGCCGAGGTTCATGCCGGCCGTCGGCGGGGAGGGCGGGCGCAGGCCGGCGGGGTTGGAGGGCGCGCGCTGCGGGTGGTGGTCGCCGTTGTTGTTGATGCGCGGGGAGGAGGAGGCGGCGCCGCCGGACATTTGGAGGGCGGGGTCGGAGGCGGTGGGCGCGCCGGAGGTGGAGGACTGGCGGCGCGCGTGGCGTTCTGTGCGGCGGCGGGAGTAGCCTCCTGCGCCTGCTCCTGCTCCTCCGGCTGCTGCGGCGGCGGCGGCGCGGGAGGCCGGGGACCACTCGTCTTCGGGGTTGCCGGCGTAGGGGGGCAGTTGGGAGTTGACGGGCGGCGGTTGAGGGTATGAGCGGCGGTTCTGGGAGGCGTTTGCCATGGACGGGGGGCCGCTTCGGGGGCCGGCGGCGCGGGCTTGGGTGCGCGCGCCGGCGGGCTGGGTTGTTGGGACTACTCGCTGCTGCATTGTGGAAGACATTGTCAGCGGTTGTGTGTCTTTGTCGCGGTGTTCGCGATCGCGGTTGTGGTGGTTTGTGGTGGTTTGTGGTGTTTGTGGTGTTTGTGTGAGGTAATGGATGTGTATGTGCGCGTAGGTGTGTATGTGTGTTCGTCTGATGTTTTTTGGGCAGCACGAGCAGCGGGTGTGCCCGTGTTTAGGTGTGAAAAGGGAGGGGAGGGAGGTGGGGAGGTTGGGGGGTGCGAGCGCTGGCTCCTTGTACGAGAAAAGAGTTTGAGGAGGTAGCATGAGGTAAGAAATTCTGGAGGCTGGTGGCACGGTGCCTGTACCAGCTACCAGCTCTAAGCAGGTCTTGCTTTTCCCTCGGGCTCCGTGCTCTCTCTCTCTGTTTGTTTGTGTGGGATATTCGCTGTAAGCCAAGGCAACCTAACTCACCTGTTGATGGGCCGCCTGGGCGAGGACGGCGTCGTGCAGCTCCGAGTTTGTCTGCTCGCTGGGGGCGCCGGTGGTGAAGCGAGAGTCGTCGTCGAGGGAGGGGGACCGAGGGCGGCGGTAGCGACCGTTGGCGGTGCCGTTGGCGGTGTTTCGCGGCTGGCGGTCGTTTGTCTCATACTGGCCGCCGTAGTCGACAAAGTCGCCGGGGAACATGGGCGGTGATCCCTGGTGGTGGTGGTTCTGCTGCTGGATGCCCATGGCCATGATTGCGAGGAAGGCCGCCGTTTGAGCGTTGTGTTGGGAGTGACAGTGGGAGGAGGACGAATGAGACACTACGCTGTAACTCTTCGTCCGGGTTCTGGGTTCGGTGTCTCTCTTCGCTCTTGATGGAGGCTGGGAAAGACGCGAAGGTTGATGATTAGGGGCCAACCCTGAACGACGGCAAAAGACGTTTGTAATTTTGACGGGTGCAAAAAGATCGAAGATCAACAGACTGGAAGGACGGGAGCTAGGAAATAAAGAAACACAGACATTTCCTTCTTTCTCGAGCGAAGAGCCAGTCTATTACATTGACAGTATCCAAGTGGCTGGGAAAAGGCGACGGCACTAACAATTTTCGCAGCAGAGCCCACAATGGCACGACGACGATTACGTGCATTGGCCCGTTGGGTGGTGGGCTGTCACTCTGTCTGCGCTGAGAACGGGAATGTCAGTGGCTGGGTCCCCACTAAACATCTCCCGTCGCC